AGTAAGTCTCTCTATTGAAGTGGAAAACCGGGTATCTGCCATCGACGTTCGTAGCAAGTTATGTTTCAGAGCATTAAGGTATATCGTCAGGAATCCTTGAATTACAGGCGATAAAGTTGATATTTTAGGGTTCCTTGGAAGTCGGAGCACGGAGACCCAAAAATATTCCGAAAAGAGAGAGACAGGAACATAGCATGTCATGGATTTAACGTACCGGATCCGGGTAAACCCGGGAAAAAAATCCAGGTACTGTGTACCCGGAAATAAAGATTTTTTTTACAAGATTTTTACTCTACGTTTCGACCACATTGCACAAGCCGTGGTCACGAGCTGACTGGAGTAACAGCGATGTCAATGTTGGTAGACGCTAACTGTTTTTTCTACTACCGTCACTAGATCACCCAGCACTTGCGGTATCTGTACGCTTACTAAACAAGTATACATTTTTTTTTATACCACGTAGGTGGTAAACAAGCATACGGCCCATCTAATGGTAAACAGTTACCGCAGCCTATGGTCGCCTGAAACACCAGGGGTGTCACATGCGCGTTGCCGACCCTTAAGAAACCTTAATGTATCCTTCTTGAAAAACCCCATGCTGTAGTCTCTCGAGAAAATCTCGACAGGTAGTTCATTCCACAATCTAAGTGTACGCGGGAGGAAGCTCCTCTGAAACCGCACTGTCCGAGACCACTTAGGTTCCAGTGTGTGGGGATGAATTCCCTGTCGATGGCGAGCGGTGCGATGGTAAAAGGTAGCCGTAAGCATCATATGAAACAATTCACCAGAACACAGTCCGTTGTATATAGAGTAGAACACACAAAGCGATGCGAAGTCATTACATTCTATCCTGAGGAAATACAAACCATCACTCCTAAGAATATATATTTTTTTATAACACAGGGGACAAACGAGCATGCGGCTCACCTGATGGTAAGTGATTACCGCCGCCCATAAGCACCCGCAACACCAGGGGAATTGCACGTTGTCGGCCTTTTAAAAAGGAATAAGCTCTTTTCTTGAAGGTTTCAATATCGTATCGGTTCGGATATACCATTGCTGGAAGGTGATTCCACAATGTGGTTGTGCGAGGCAATAAGTTTCTAGAAAACAGCACTGTGGAGGACCGCCATTCATCCAGATGATTAGGATAGTATTTCAGTTTCTGGCGGGTGGTACGGTGGTGAAACTCAGCTGGTAATAATCCGAACAATAATCTCCTTCAATTCTTGTCCCTGACGGGCCTAGGTAGCGAACTTTGAAAAAGGATACACCTATGTAGGTACAGTGCTACAGTCTTGACAATATCACAAACACGTAAATAAAAAAACAGTCAATAAGACTGATGCTACCAAACTTTATATAAATTTATTTATGACTATATTTCACGCATATGATAATTTTAATCCTGTCGATTGAAATCGAAATATTTTTTAAATTTCAACGTAAAGTCAGCTTAGTATTAATCAATAAATAAATTAAAAAAAAGTTATTATTCAGTACAAGACTCACACACACCGATATTTGTTACCCCGCGTGGATCCTTCGACATCGATTCTCTCATATACATCAGCGCGGCATCTGTCGTAACATTTTATGGGAATTTTATTAAATTGCTATTTATTATGTATGTTTTTTTCTTATTTTATTACCTGACACACTATGATGATTTTAATCGCTCGACATTTTCGATTGAAATCGAAATATATATATTTAACATTTAATAATATAATCTCAGGATAATCTCAGTATATAATCACACAATAAATAAGCTATTAGCTTTTTTATAAAAAGTCTAATACATATATATTTTTTTTCGTAAATACATACATATTATTCAGAAAATACAAGACGATACACACACACCGATACAAATGTTTGTGCCCCGCGTGGATCCCGCGACCATCGGACTCTCATATACATCAGACCGCGACCATCTGTCAATATATATATATATATATATATATATATATATATATATATATATACCGTATTTAACCTATAATATATAACTAATATTAATTTTATTACCTGACATTGGTTTCTCGTAATGATTATTGTAATTATACATGTGTTCGTTAATGTTTCATGAAACATATGTATTTTCTTTACTGTATATTATAAATAAAGCATATTCTATCTAATATTATAAAGTCGAAATCTGTCTGTCTAAATGTTAGTTAACTTTTCACTTCTATTGAAACTTGATGTAAAAATATATTGGCCTTGGTGGTCTAATGGTTTTGCACATCGTTTTCCTTTCAATGGTCGTGGGTTACATTCCTCACACGGTACAAATATTTGTATTCATTTATATAATGATACTGATGAATACAAATGTTTGTATCGTTTGTATTAGTCTGGGTGTTTCCTATGTATGTTATATATACATGCATTTAAGTAATATTATTTATATAACTTATCTAGTACCTAATATTGCAATATTGCTAACAATGGGACTGGTTTCCATCAAATGAGCCGTCAGCTTCTTCAGCAATTCATTCATTCAATCATAATTTAAGAGCTGTGCTCTTGTCGGTGGAGCTCCCGCCACCTTCCACGATCTTCTATCACTCCTTTTAGCTGTTAATACGACACGACTCCAACTCTTTCTTTAACTTGCTTGATATAGCTGTGTCTTGATCTTCCCCATCCTCTCTTTCCATCTATATTTCCTTCAATAATATTACCACAGATAACATAATATATTACTAATTAGTTCGTCGTGTCGTATCAAGTGCCCCAACATTTATATTTACCAATTGTAGTATATAAAACAAAAACTATGTAAGGATCACTTCATAGCACAACAGTGCGTGTTGGAATGCAATTAGCCAGTATTGGACACGCATGAAAATTCCCTAGGCTTGTGATGAACGTAGCCATTTTGCAAATGTCGGTGCGGCACGCGAAATTATAAAGATGTTTATTTTCTTTAAAAACTTAGTAACTTTTAATACTCACTCGAGTATAATAGTATATATAAGAATGAAAGGAAATACATTTGTTTGATATAAAAATATACAACAGAACAAAGAAGTTATTAGACAATTTTGAATATTTATTTGTGGTACCAAATAGGTCGCAGTCCGTCTTGCATTGTCCTATGTCTAGACAAATCTAAGCACAGTTTTCTGTATTTACTTGTTTTTTAATAAATAAATAATAACTCGGAACTTTATGAAGACGTTAGGTCTCGTTAGAAACTTAAGTAAATTTTTATACTTCAGAAAATGATACTTACTCAAATACAATAGTAATAATAATGACACTGGATAATTTATATATGACGACCTCGGTGGTCTAGCGGTCTAGCACACCGCTTTATGTCCGATGGTCGCGGGTTCGATTCCTCGCACGGCACAAACATTTGTATTCATTCATATTTAAAAAATATCTTTGTATTTGTATTATGATTATTATTATTATTATTATTATTAATTGTCTAGTACCGGTGTTACTGGCAGCTTGTCTACCATTCTTTTTATAAACTTTATATATATTTTTTATATGTCACTTTTGACGAACTTATATTGTTTTGTTACTTCTCGCTGTGAGCCCTTTTGGGGAGAATACACATTTTTACTAGTATTTGGTTTTTATTAAAATAGTAGTTGTGTTCCCGCTCCAGTAACATTGGTCCTTCGAGCCATTGTTTCTATTATATTATATTATATTATATCTCTATCTGATCTCCAGCTATGCAGAGCTTGTATTATGGGTATTAGACAACTGATATATATATATATATTTAGATGCATATATATTTTGTAAATAATTACACAATATTCATAGAAAACACCCAGATTGAATGATAGACAAAAAATCAAAAGTACTTATAGATACAAATGTACGTACCCTGCGAGGAATCGAACGCGCAACCATCGGAAGCAAAGCAGTAAGCCAAACCTCTAGACCACCGAAGCCGTCAAAAACAAGAAGACAAATTTAAATAGGAGGCTATTTTTATATGACAATTAAGCAAATGAAGTCGCGGATAATATCTAGTATACTGTTCTGATGTTTTTATTTTTTTAGAAGTTCCAATTTGACAAGAATAACATTGTGAATGGTCACGTTGACCATACTTCTGACATATCCGTCGATTGTAAGCCCGCGGTTCAAAGGTTCCGATAAATATTTATTGCTTCTCACAATTCGCTCTCGTATATGTAGGATTCTACACAATTTCTTGTTCGTATTTGTGAGTTGGATGATGCATCTAGATGAGAGCTGCTTGTGAGAATTGATCTGTTCGGGTTACGAACTGATTGCATTATTTGCTTTTGCAATAGCATATGCTGGTGGTCACTCTATTCTCCCAAATTTGAATTTAGAAATTAATCTGTATTATTGTAAACACACTGAAATAATGTACCATTCAAACATGGAAACAATTTCTCTAACCTGAGCCGTGGTTAAAAAGTTTTTGTATAAACAAAATCGAATGAAATCTTTTTAACATTAATATATATATGTATACATATCTAGTAGCAATACATATGTATACTACACTCTGTTATCGCATTAAATATTATAGATATCAATCACTTTTATCGCCAATAATAGTAATATATAAAAAGATTTGTTTTGCTTTTGGTTACATTCATATCAGTTAGTAGTCATGATCGTAATAAATATACAATTATATATAGATAATGTACGATCGTCGTTGTATGCTATATAATGTAGTATATATAAAGTAAAAATCAAGTGTATACTATAAAATATAGTATACACTTGATTTTTCTACTTATAATAATAAATAATTTAAAATAAATAAATTTATAAAAGTACATTAAAATTCTGAATCAATGAAATTTATCTATATAACATAATAATAAATGTTTCATCTTAAAACCAGTTATCTCATCTTTATCTGCGAATTTTTGCGTTATCACATACTGAAATTATCTTATTTACCGTTCGTGTTCACATGTCACTCCCATGATAAGAGATAAGACCGTATCTATTTGTAGACTAGTTATACTCTAGCCACTATGTCCAACGTAGCTCTAGTTGTTGGGGCTTCCAGCAATTTGGGATACCAAGTGCTGATGAAACTCACTGAAGTGTACAAAGGAAGAATATATTTCACCACTGAAGATGAGGAAGTCGGCTACGGTATATTGAAGACTTTTAAGAAGAGCGGTAGCAATTTATACCATATTCCTATGGACATAACGTATACAAACAGCATAATAAAATTAAGACATCACATACAAGACTTGGACGAGAGGATAGACCTGCTGATTAACAATACAGATTACGTACAGACAAAGAAAAATTTATCTCACGCTGATAAAGTTAGAAAAACTCTGAGCGTCAACTTCTACGGTTACATAAATTTCGGTAAATTGATGTATCCTATACTTAGTGAGAATGCTAGAGTCGTCAATGTATCCGGTCCAGCTGGTTTACTAGCTACAATAGAGAATGAACAGATAAGAACTAGAATCAGTGATCCAACATTGACAGAAGACGAGTTGGTATCACTTGTTAAGGAGTACGAAGAAGCAGTAAGGAAAGGTGTTGAAAAGACTTTAGGGTGGGGCGTCAGTGTGCATGCTGTAAGCAAAGTCGTACTTAATGCTGTGACATTCCTGCAACACAGGGAGTGGGCCCACACTGGTGTAGTTATAAACTGTGTAAATCCGGGAAGCCTGTCGAGCCGGGAGGACAGGAGGACGTCCAAAGTTTTCGAGGAGGGTGCCAAGGCAATTTTGTATTTGGCTCTTGAGGCGCCGTTGTCCATAAAGGGCAATTTTGTTTGGAGCAATTATTCAGTTATCGAATGGAACTGTGACCCATTTGTCGAGGTGACTACTGTGTAAGTTAAGCCTGTTAAATGACTGTTTTTATTTATTGTTGCCTGAAGTGATTTAATAGTTTGACAAACAATAAAATAAATAATCTCAAATAAACACTAATGAATCATTTATATTGAAAAAGTATTATATTTGATATTAATTATGGAAATAATAAGATTTCTGTATGTGAAAATTATGTTTTAATAAATTTATCTTAATGCACTGAGACGTAATATATACCAAAACTATCTATATCGTTTGCCTATCAGGGATGGTAACGAATATAATCTGAGTATATAACTTGTATCTATGTATAATATGTATGTATATACGAAATAAAAATACATATCTATGTATTTGTAACAGTTATCTAGTACCACAAGCTTAAGCTAGCTTAACTTAGATCTAGATGGCGCTGTGTGAATTGTCCTGAAAAAAAATCTTAATATGTCCCTGGATAATTTACACAACTAGACAACTGATAAAATAAATAGATAATTTTTATTCTTATTTGTAAATACATACATACATAGAAAATACCCAGACCGATACAAACAATTATACTCATGAATACATATATTTGACCCGTGCGAGGAATCAAACCCGCGACCATTGAAAGTAAAAGGATGTAATAAACCGCTAGACCATCGAGACCGTCAAATATGAAGAACCCAGTCCTTAGAAATTGAGGAGCTAAATTACTCCAATCTACACCATCAAAGTTATTAAACAATATACAGATTTTCAAACAAACAGACAGACAAGCAGTAAAGTTATCTACACGGAAATGATATTTGACATATTGAAATCTAACACTACTTTCACTTAACAGTTATGGTATCTCAAGTAACACTATATACCCAGGAGATTATATCTGACTCCATTACAAAGCTATCGGATTAGACACAGACACACAGAACTGTCGAGACCTGTGTATACCTCAATTCGTGAGGTTACTGAGGTGTTGAAATCGTGAAATCACTTCCATTTTTACTATCTACAATTGGACACAAATTTATATTACATACATATAAATAAAATTTGAGTGTCTATTTGTTATACTGAAATAACCGTGCTTACTTTTTCGTGAAACTGAACAATTACTACATCGTAATTTTATTGTGTGTAGTTAATTTTGAACGCTTTTAAGAGGATTTTTTTTTCCATTCTTAATCCTGGTGTATGTAGCAATGGCAAATATAACGGAAACAAATCCTCGGAACGGTGAAGTCGCACCATGGAGCCTGTGAAGACACCAGGAGACTTCTGCGCTGAGAGGAGCCCCCCTTGATCGATCCCCCGTCTAATTCAAACGGGGATCGAAATTACGACGGCCTGAGCCGAGGTTCGAACACCTAGTGGTGCCCTCAGACTAAAGTCGTAGCCGTCAGGCTGGAGCCTTCAGGCGGACGTTTATTTGACGCTCCATAAGGACTTACGGCGGGTTTGGAGTTTGCCATCTGCACTCGCCCCCTAACGTCCGATGAAGCTGTAAAGGCCAGCTGCGGCCAACAGCATTAGAGTACTCCGGAAGAGAAGCTGAGAGAAGCTTGGCTGGCTACTCTAGTAGTCTCGGCTCTGTATACACAATGCCCCAGATGAGAGGTTAATTGCGGAAAATGGAGTCCAACTTACTTTTACCATTCAAAATTAACTTTTGCACAAACAAAATTTATGCGATCGACCAGTTTTTTTCTCTCTTTGTAATCGAATTCCGAATGCCTTGAGTATTAGCATCCAAATTTCAATTAAAACGAACAAACATCTCTGGGAATGACAAAATTGGTTTTCTAACAGCAACAGCGCTAATTTGAAGCCGACACCGTTGCGATGGAGTTGCAAATTGAATTCATTTTAAATTACTCATCTATTTATATATTCGGTTGCGATTGTAAAAAAAACTTTATTAATATTATAAATCCAAAAGTAACTCTCTCTGTCTGTTAATTAACAGAAAATATATCATTCAAAGTTTGTATAATACAAAAAACATTCTTAAAGGTGCAAAATAAAATAGGGGATGAAAGTCTGTATGGAAATTCGTAATTTTTGAAGTTAGAACAATTAATGAATGATTATTAAATATTTTTTTATTTATTTGGCCATTCAATACGTGGACGAAGTCACGGGCACAGGTAGTAAGCCACAAATCTTAACGGCCTCTATACTCAAGCGGTATAAGTACACCGCTTTGCCTCCGATAGTCTCGGGTTCGAATCCTCGCATGGCACCAATATTTGTATTCATGAGTATGATTATTTGTATCGGTATTACTGTTCTCTATATACATATATTATACATGAAGTTACAAAACAAAAGGATCTACGTATATATATATCAGATGTCTAGTATACATAACACAAGCTCTGCTTAACTTCGGACTAGATGGCGCTGTGTAAATTGTTTTGAGATATTATTATTATATAAAGATTGATTACTATAATTCCTAATTCCATATACAAAAAAGATCATAAACACCAATATATAGGTGATACATTTTGTTAATAATTGTAATAAAACACAAGTGCAATCAAATTTGACCCTACAGCCGTAACAGTAGAGTCGTCGGCAAATAATAAATACGTCGGTTCAATAAATTTCTTTTATCTAGCCGTAAGCAGGCAGGAAGGAAGGACTATATATAAAGCGGTGGTCATACTAACGACGCAAGTTTTTCTATTTCAAAGTTGTCTCGACAGATAACGGGGCCGGCTGATTGCTTGTCACGGAACGCCCGAGCTGTTCGGATATCTGTGTGAAATATCCGAACAATTAATTATCAATACGCTACATGTAAATGTACAGACGTATCTTATCAGTTTCTATATATATCTTTATATATAAAAACTAGTTGTCCCAGCAAACGCTGTTTTGCCTTAAAATAAAAATATAAATTTTAGGGGGATGAAACTTCTAACATTCAGGGGGATGAAAATAGATGTTGGCCGATTCTCAGACCTACTCAATACGCTCACAAAATTTCATGAGAATCGGTCAAGCCGTTTCGGAAGAGTATGGGAACGAAAACTGTGACACGAGAATTTTATACATAAGATTACTTGTCACGTTGTTTGTCCGCGATGGACTCGTAAACTACTGAACCGATTGCAAATTTGCATATTGTGTGCAATTTATTTCAACTTGAAAGATAGGATTACATCTCAATTTATAGTCGCAATATTATTTTATTTAAGGACCTTAGCCACAACAACGCGTGGCTGGATCTGCTAGTATATATATTCAAATAAATGAAATTGTATGAAATATATATGAAAGTATATAAATTAATTATATTAAAACAATTATTTAAAAACAAATTGTAGTCTGTTTTAACTGATCTTGGTCTCGGAAACAGCTGAACTAATTTTAAGTGAACTTTCATTTGCATTTTATTTTAAATATTTTATTTACTTTAATAAAAAAAATCCACTTGGATGAATATAAACACAAATTTTAATATAGAAATACGTACACTTACTTATTTTTATTTTTATTACATCAGTTACCTGCCAAAAAAAGTCCCGTCAAAATCCGTCCAGTCATTTCAGAAATTAGCCGGAACAAACAGAGAGACAGACAAAAGTTATAAAAAATGTTATTTTGGTGTATGTACCGTATTTATATGCATATGCATGTAATAAAAAACTTATTTCAATATTAAATTCAAATTCAAATTCAAAATATCTTTATGAATGAAAGACCGTACATGTAAATGTAGTTATTAACAATTTTCTAACAGAATTATAGCAAGCAAATATGTCGTACACAATCAGAACTAATGAGCCAATGAACAGCTCACTGTATTAAGTTCATATTGTTTTTATGAAACAAAAAATATTATTCGATTCTTATACTTTTATATCTGAGAAAACATCGTACAATCCTCATTAATTTCTACAATATTATACATGTCAGCTAGTACAATCTATACATATAAATAAAATAGGAGTGTCTGTTTGTAATTTGAATTTAAATGAATCTGTATTATTGTAAATATTGTACATTGATTTAAAAAAAATACGAGCTGAGTTTCTTGTCAGTTCTTCTCATCTCGATATCATTCCGAACTGACGGTAGATTTGACATATCATAAGAGTCTGTAATTAAATTTGATATGGAGATGTATTGTATCACGAAATCGCATGTGATTAGTTAGCATTGCAATAGTTTTCTGCACCTGTACCGCTGAGAACAAAAGAGGAGTTGGTAAACAGGTTTTAGTTTATGACCTTTCTGACTGTCTACATCTGAATTGCATGTAATTTTATAAACTCGTTTCAAACTACCCTGCACTTTGTTCTTTGTTTCATTTGTAACTTATTTAAAGCTCTCACTGTTCTAGCAAATTTACATAAAAGTATATTTTGTTGACCTCTACGGTTTAGTGGTTTAGTACCTTACCTCTACTATAATAGAGAGTTCGATTCCCGTAAAATAAAATTATTTATATTTATAAGTTTATCTGTCTGTATTAGTTGGGTCGTCAACGCTTAACTTCCGATGGTCACGAGTTCGATTCTTCGTGCGGTGTAAACATGAGTATATAATTTATGTATCAATAACTATATAATTACAAAAATCGTTATACATGATTATAGTACTGGCTTTGCTACCAGACTTTCAACACCGGTTAAATATTTCAAAAGCCAGAAAATACATTTAAATAAAATTGTTAAAAAAAATATTATCATTTTCCACTTTTTCTCTATATAAACTATAAGTGTGCGAAAATTCATACTCTTCTCTCAGCGGAACTTTTGTAAAAAGATAAAATTTTTGCTTCAGATGTTAATCCATAGTAATATTAAAAATCTGAAGAACTTGTTTGTTTGAACACGCCAATCTCAGGAACTATTGGTTCGAATTGAAAAATTCTTTTTGTGTTCCTCGATAATATAGCTTAGAGGCTTCTCCTCTATCTACTATCCAAGTCCATTTATCAAGGAAGCCTTTAAGCTATATAACATTACGCTGCGACCAATAGAAGCGAAGCATCAGTGAAAAATGTCGCAAAAACGGGGAAT